TAGACTAGACTATAGACTAGACTATAGACTAGACTATAGACTAGACTATAGACTAGACTATAGACTAGACTATAGACTAGACTATAGACTAGACTATAGACTAGACTATAGACTAGACTATAGACTATAGACTAGACTATAGACTAGACTATAGACTAGACTATAGACTAGACTATAGACTAGACTATAGACTAGACTATAGACTAGACTATAGACTAGACTATAGACTAGACTATAGACTAGACTATAGACTAGACTATAGACTAGACTATAGACTAGACTATAGACTAGACTATAGACTAGACTATAGACTAGACTATAGACTAGACTATAGACTAGACTATAGACTAGACTATAGACTAGACTATAGACTAGACTATAGACTAGACTATAGACTAGACTATAGACTAGACTATAGACTAGACTATAGACTAGACTATAGACTAGACTATAGACTAGACTATAGACTAGACTATAGACTAGACTATAGACTAGACTATAGACTAGACTATAGACTAGACTATAGACTAGACTATAGACTAGACTATAGACTAGACTATAGACTAGACTATAGACTAGACTATAGACTAGACTATAGACTAGACTATAGACTAGACTATAGACTAGACTATAGACTAGACTATAGACTAGACTATAGACTAGACTATAGACTAGACTATAGACTAGACTATAGACTAGACTATAGACTAGACTATAGACTAGACTATAGACTAGACTATAGACTAGACTATAGACTAGACTATAGACTAGACTATAGACTAGACTATAGACTAGACTATAGACTAGACTATAGACTATAGACTAGACCAACGGTTCCCAAATGGGGGTCCGCGGACCCCTAGTGGTCCGTAGTAAAATCCTAGGGGTCCGCGAAGACGAACGAAAAAAAAAAACATGAATATGTATGTACAAATATCTCCAATTTTTGTGCAATAATCCCAAATTTTTTTGTGACTTTTTGAATTTTATTGTTTCGGTTGTTTATCAGGAAGAAGCTAGGCCCTACAAATTTATTGTATAACTTTTATAAAGTAAAGTATTGCGTGATTTGTAATTTTTATTTCCTGTATATATACTGAAATAATGGTTTTTATTTCAGACAAATAATACTCTGCCTTACAATTAAATTAGGGATACTGGTATTCCGGAGTATGAAGTTCAATTCAAAGACAAGCTTATTACAGATTTAAGTTTATCAAATTGTAAGCAAAAGTGTTCTTGTTTGAAAGGACTAAAAGTATATATATCCAAAACAGAGGTGACTCTTTATGCATCTCTTTATAAATATTCCAATACGACTTGATACACAGATTTTATCTTGATTTTGTCGACCAATACATATTATTAAATTAACATCAGAAAATCCATAGCGTTTCGGGTAAATATGTAGCCAAAAACCATGAAGTAAAATAATTCGTTGGTATTTTAAAATTCAAATTTAAGTTCCAAATTCACAGTACTTTAACAAAGAGTTCAAATCATATATTATGCGGATAACGCATTCCGCAACAACATAGAAGAAGTCCAACTTTATTATATTATTTTCCCGAAAACATAGCTCACTTACTCAGTTCACCCTTTGCAAATTTTTGAAACGTGACTCCTTAAGCACATGTGACAATATTTGATAAAGAAACCTTTTCGCTACCTTGAAGAAAAATGAACATGAAAGATCTCACGATCATAAAATTAAACATCATGGTAACATATCAACAAAGAAGTCATTCTATCTTTAAAACATGCAATTGAAAACCTATCTGAAATATTATATATTCTCAATCAGAGATGGGGGTAGTGCACTAATTTTTAACTATCACTAATTATTAGTGGTAGTTCAAAATTATTCACTACTTTTATTTTTGTTTAGTGATGAATTGAAAAATATAAGCCTCATTCAATAATAGTGATAGTGATATTTAAAATTTTTAACTAAAAATAGTTAAAATATTTGTTTTTACAGCCTAGTGAAATCATTTTTTCTACACTAAATTATTAGTTCAAAAAATATTCCTGCACTATTTTTTTTTCAACAGAGAAATGTTCCACTCATTTGAAAGTTTAAGTTAATAGGACAGTCTAGAAATGGTTTAAGTCAACCAAAAACTCATTGGACGAATATTATTAATAAGTAAAACGTTCATTATTTACAAAGGTTCCAAGCTATTGCCTAAAAAACATCCAGTAACCACATCATTTTGGCAACTGGCAACGCAGATGACGTGGCAATCGAGGTACAAAATTAACCAATTAATTTAATTTTCCGAGGAGAGTTCACCAATCCGCTAAAGAAAACATCGTTATACTTGAGCAGAAGAAGGCAAAAGTTTTGTTTTAACCATTTCTTTTTAAAGCATGAGATGTTGTTGGGATAACTGCATATGTAGGGTCTATCATAGTGCCATCGCTAACAAAATCTGTATTTTCCATTTTAATAGATGTACCTTTTAAAAAATTGAATCATTTATTGTCTTACAAATTCTTTCATCTTCATAAAAAAAATAGTGCAAAGAAAATTATTGAAGCCTTTTGTTAGTGACTGTTCAAATTTTTAACTATTTGAGTGTATTGCTTTTTTCTACACTACCACTCAATTGAGTTATAGTTAAAAAAATAACATTATCACTAAAAAATATTAGTGCTAAAAATATAAGCTTCACTACCACTAAGCTCCTGAAAATTAGTGAAAAATATATTTTTTGAAATAATATTTAGTGCTAGTTAAATATTGATTTAACTAATAATTTAGTGCACTACCCCCATCTCTGTTCTCAATATACGGGAATATTTTATAGATATGACATCGCTACATTTATTAGACCTAGGGATTAATGAACTAGGTCAATTTTCGGATGGACAATTATTTAGAACAATAAGATATCAAAATATGTATGGGGGTCCGCGAAATTAAATAAGTTCTTCAAGGGGTCCGCGAAGTAAAAATCGGTGGGAACCGCTGGACTAGACTATAGACTAGACTATAGACTAGACTAGACTATAGACTAGACTATAGACTAGACTATAGACTAGACTAGACTATAGACTAGACTAGACTATAGACTAGACTAGACTAGACTAGACTATAGACTAGACTAGACTAGACTATAGACTAGACTAGACTATAAACTAGACTAGACTATAGACTAGACTAGACTATAGACTAGACTACAGACTAGACTAGACTATAGACTAGACTAGACTATAGACTAGACTAGACTATAGACTAGACTAGACTATAGACTAGACTAGACTATAGACTAGACTAGACTAGACTAGACTAGACTAGACTAGACTAGATAGACTAGACTAGACTAGACTAGACTAGACTAGACTATAGACTAGACTAGACTATAGACTAGACTAGACTATAGACTAGACTATAGACTAGACTAGACTAGACTATAGACTAGACTAGACTATAGACTAGACTAGACTATAGACTAGACTAGACTATAGACTAGACTAGACTATAGACTAGACTAGACTATAGACTAGACTAGACTATAGACTAGACTAGACTAGACTATAGACTAGACTATAGACTAGACTATAGACTAGACTATAGACTAGACTATAGACTAGACTATAGACTAGACTATAGACTAGACTATAGACTAGACTATAGACTAGACTATAGACTAGACTATAGACTAGACTATAGACTAGACTATAGACTAGACTATAGACTAGACTATAGACTAGACTATAGACTAGACTATAGACTAGACTATAGACTAGACTATAGACTAGACTATAGACTAGACTATAGACTAGACTATAGACTAGACTATAGACTAGACTATAGACTAGACTATAGACTAGACTATAGACTAGACTATAGACTAGACTATAGACTAGACTATAGACTAGACTATAGACTAGACTATAGACTAGACTATAGACTAGACTATAGACTAGACTATAGACTAGACTATAGACTAGACTATAGACTAGACTATAGACTAGACTATAGACTAGACTATAGACTAGACTATAGACTAGACTATAGACTAGACTATAGACTAGACTATAGACTAGACTATAGACTAGACTATAGACTAGACTATAGACTAGACTATAGACTAGACTATAGACTAGACTATAGACTAGACTATAGACTAGACTATAGACTAGACTATAGACTAGACTATAGACTAGACTATAGACTAGACTATAGACTAGACTATAGACTAGACTATAGACTAGACTATAGACTAGACTATAGACTAGACTATAGACTAGACTATAGACTAGACTATAGACTAGACTATAGACTAGACTATAGACTAGACTATAGACTAGACTATAGACTAGACTATAGACTAGACTATAGACTAGACTATAGACTAGACTATAGACTAGACTATAGACTAGACTATAGACTAGACTATAGACTAGACTATAGACTAGACTATAGACTAGACTATAGACTAGACTATAGACTAGACTATAGACTAGACTATAGACTAGACTATAGACTACACTATAGACTAGACTATAGACTAGACTATAGACTAGACTATAGACTAGACTATAGTCCAGACTATGGGCCAGACAATAGTCCGGGCTATGTGCCAGACAATAGTCCGGACTATGTGCCAGACAATAGTCCGGACTATGGGTCAGACAATAGTCCGGACTATGGGCCAGACTATAGTCCAGACTATGGGCCAGACAATAGTCCAGACTATGGACCAGACTATAGTCCAGACTATGGGCCAGACAATAGTCCGGACTATGGACCAGACTATAGTCCAGACTATGGGCCAGTCAATAGTCCGGACTATGGGCCAGACAATAGTCCGGACTATGGGCTAGACAATAGTCCGGATTATGGACCAGACTATAGTCCAGACTATGGGCCAGACAATAGTCCGGACTATGGGCCAGACGTCAATTATTGGCACAAACTTTAGTGTGTAGGGAGTAAAAAAAAATGAAAATGCAGCATAAACATATGTATGTATATCTCTGATACTTACTCTCTCAAACAAACTGCGACATATATTCACGTACAGACTATATGTAAAATGTGCCCGTAAATCGTTTAGACGCTCCGTTATGTCATCAACTTTTTCCGTATTATCAATGGATGCTGTGAACAGTGAGACAAACCATGCCAAACTGTACTGATACATTGGATCAATATTGGCCAATTCAACTGTAATGAAAATTAATGAGATTTTGTTAGTTTTTACTATTCATTCGTTTTTGCCTTTACTCTTTGTTTTTTTTTAACATTTTTTATAATTTCAAAAAAATGAAAACCATTTAGTGAAAGGATTGTTTAAAATCTGTATTATGTATGTATGCGCAAGTGAGTATGTTTTTGGTTTTGATTTTGTAATTTGGCATAAATGGTCGGATGGATGGATATATGGATGGATTCAATCATGTCATTGACATGTTATTTAAATGATAAAAACCGCAGACATACAGATGTTTATTCTTTGTTTCCATGTACGTATATAATAATGTGTACATTAAATAAATTGGAGATTATACGTTATTAAGCTGCTCTCTATTGCTATTTTTAGCTAAATGTAAATTTTAGGAATTTTTTGTGCAAAAATTAAATATGTTAAAAATAACGTAATAAGCTTTCAACAAAGTGTAACAAAGTAAAATGTTAAAACCTGTATTAGTAGGGAATTATTATTTGTGTTTGCTATGGTTTAAATTTAAAATGTTGTAATAGTTTTAAATGAATAAAAATAAGTTTTTCTAGTAAGTGGTCATAAAATAGAGCTAAGAATGAATGAATTCTCTTTAGAATTTATTTATAGTTCAATTTCCTTCTAAGTAAAAGAGCCGAAATAACTCAATAGAGGCATTGCATTCATCGTCATAATATGGTGAAGTATAGAACTACTTCTGTCGATATCAATGTTAAAGACAAATACCTCGTATTCAGATCGAGGTCAACCGACTAAAATCTCTATAATGACTATATTTCACCAGTGACCGATTGTCCATTAGGATACCGTCCAGATTTCAGGGCCCTTATAAATGGTGATATGCATCTGGTCCTTAGGGACTCCAAGACTCACAATTTGCTGTGACAGTCGAATCTAGGGAAGACCAAAAATCGTGTAATAATTTAAGAGTCCACTGCGCTAGCTCTTCAAACATAAAAATCACGATTCCTGGTCAAGCATCAGACCATCGTTTGTCTGTCTTTAAACACCGAAATCATAGCAACCAAAAGAAAGCATCTTCGATTTCATCTTCAATGATCTTTCAGATCCCATCAACGTAGATAGATTGAACAAACTACCACCTTATATCACTTCTAAAGTTTCAGAGTTCAATTCCTATACTAAATCATTTAAGTCAATTGACCCCAACGTTATACGCATGCTGACACTATCATACTTCTGCGAACGGACAATGGTTTTGAACCTATCAACGATTATCATGAAGGAGTACGCTTTGTAATTGGGGAGAGCTTTCGACACTGTCAGTCCACAATGTCCAAAAATCAAAGTTATAAAGTTATGAATAGTTAATAATCTGAGTGCACATCTTTCGATCGTAGATTTTCGGAACAAATGGTCAATTTCTCTTGTATTTTGATTATACATGGCAGTGTCATATTCCCTAGTTTGTAACTCCTATCTTGCTAAACTCTAAATACATCCACTGGTTGTGGAAGGAATCTTATATGCGGACTATACGTGTTAAAACGTCTATAAACAATCAGAGATTATAACTTCTTCATTGTATGTAAACCAATAATTATCACCAGCAAAGACTTCCGGAATGACTCGGAGTTCAACGAACATCGTCCAAATATTGTCAACTTACAAGTGTCGCTGCTACAACAACAACACTTGGACGTTTCCAGAACCGACCCGAATCATACTCGGCTAAATATTGTCAGCTCAGCGACAGCTGTACCACAACTGACAGCTTTAACACTCGGTAGTTCTTTCCCAAGGAAAGAGCAGTCGAACTGCTTTGTTCTAACTTCACCTTGAAGAAGGAAGATAAACTTAATCTTGGCATCGTAGTCGATGGAGTCCAAATTTCGATTATGGAACCTCCAACGCACAGATTGCGAGGTAGAAACGAGGTCCTCAAACTACGAGGATACAAACCGAAGGCGTATAAGTAATATCATATGCGAACGACTAAAGGGAAGCAAGAGGTTGATCAACTTTGCGATCCGCCTAATAGTTATATCGGTGAAATACTTCATCATTGCGCTTAAGCCGAAATTTTTACCGGTGCAGACATTAGCACTTATTGGCGTTATAGTCGAAAATTCCGACTACGAACCATTCCCACACATGGACAATTAGCCGGCAAGTGGTCAGTGAATAGAGTAACGAGTTTAACGCCTCAAGTCCTGCATATTTCACAGACCAGCCCACCTACTTTGCTTAGACATATATGTATGTATGTAGATGTAAACTAGTTGGTTACCTACACGACAATTAGTCGATTTGTGGAACAACATGCTTAAAGTCTACTGGTATTTAATATATCATACTGTCGCTAATGAAGTCAGTCACTCTCTCCAACTTTGGTTAGTCCTTTGAATTTATGGACTCGTCCAGTATAAGAAGCGCAATTGTAAGCTTAACTAATGATTACAAATTTTACTGTTTTCCATGTTAAAACACCCTCTTGTATTAAATTCTTTTCATTGAAAGCATTTTTTACATTATTTCTACACATATTAGAAACATGTTTGGTATACCAATTTATCCGGCGGTGAAGTATTTAAAAATAAAATTCATTTTTTTATGACCACAATATAAAACGGAAATTAAAACTATAAACTCCTATACAAAAACAGTTTTGGATTTTATTTTGGTAGAGACTGTGTTGAAATACAATAACCAAATATAAGAGTGCAATAAATGCGGATATTAGTTTGTATATACGCATTCTCACACACTCGACCATATATACAGGAGTGACCCAGCAGTTCTCTATAATCATTTCGGATTAACTGTTTTAACTACAATATTTCCAATATTATCATACATTACTTTAAAGATAATTATTTTAAGGTCCAACAAGTAATGTGTAAAAGGGACTCATACGAATTCTCAAAACTGAAGGGACATGAAATAAACATTCAACTAGTGACGTATTAGTAATTTGTATTTTGCCTTTTAACAATGATTTAATGAAATTTTTGATATTAGGTTCTTTAACATAATATAAGTAGAAAGTCGCTAAAATACCTATAATATCAATAATATCACTTACCAATAGTAAAAAATAATATTGTTGAATGCTCCGCTATTGGTACATAACTCAAGCGAGCAATATCAATTTGTTTTTCGGTGGCTTCGGTTATAATCTGTTTCTCATTGATGTCATTGGCCAAGGCCTTTGATGAGCTTAGAATTTGTACAGCAGTTTCATCCTCTAAAATGTTTTCAGCTGACGAAAGTACTTCCAATATTTGATCTTCAGTTTCTTTGAGCATGCGCTTATTTTCTGCACCCTGTACAATAAGTGTATTCTTTTCAGCCTCCAAATCGGGTCGTTCTCTAGCTACCGTTATGCCCAATAGCTGATCTTGTAAACCTTGTGTGGTAATCATAAAATTAAGTAGCGTTACCTTAACCGCGACTTCTGGTAAATAGTGGGGATTGCGTAATTTCGTAGTCATATAGAATCTGCATATTAAAATTGAAGGTTCATTATTTCATCATTACTTCGTCAAAAAGTTTATTAACTTATACTTACTTAAAACTGTGATTATATTCTATAACCGAGTCGCCCAGTTTAATACATAGTGTACCGCCTTGCTTGAATAGTTGCTTAAGTAAAATCGATTCAAGTAATGGATCTAATTCTTCTCCTATATTCTCTAGAAGCACAGGCAAACCAAATTGTATAGCATTTTCTAGTACTCTGGTATAATCGGGTTGATTTAGACGTATTACACATAGACGATTATTCTTTTCAAGATTTTTAATCCATTTATTGGCTTGTCCTTGCGGATCTATCATAAGAGGCCAACGGCGAGCGTTTCTGAAATTAAAAAAAAAAAATGTAATAAAAACGTAACCCAAGATGGCTGAACAACGATCAAGCAGCCAAAAAAAGAATTCAATCAATGTAATCAATATCCAAAATTAAAATAGTCATAGTCTAATATAGTATCTATCTATCTATCTATCTTCTATCTATCTATCTTCTATCTATCTATCTATCTATCTATCTATCTATCTATCTATCTATCTATCTATCTATCTATCTATCTATCTTATCTATCTATCTATCTATCTATCTATCGATCTATCTATCTATCTATCTATCTATCTATCTATCTATCTATCTATCTATCTATCTATCTTATCTATCTATCTATCTAGCTATCTATCTATCTATCTATCTATCTATCTATCTATCTATCTATCTATCTATCTATCTATCTATCTATCTACTATCTATCTATCTATCTATCTATCTATCTATCTATCTATCTATCTATTCTATCTATCTATCTATCTATCTATCTATCTATCTACTCTATCTATCTATCTATCTATCTATCTATCTATCTATCTATCTATCTATCTATCTATCTATCTATCTATCTATCTATCTATCTATCTATCTATCTATCTATCTATCTATCTATCTATCTATCTATCTATCTATCTATCTATCTATCTATCTATCTATCTATCTATCTATCTATCTATCTATCTATCTATCTATCTATCTATCTATCTATCTATCTATCTATTCTACTACTATCTATCTATCTATCTATCTATCTATCTATCTATCTATCTATCTATCTATCTATCTATCTATCTATCTATCTATCTATCTATCTATCTATCTATCTATCTATCTATCTATCTATCTATCTATCTATCTATCTATCTATCTATCTATCTATCTATCTATCTATCTATCTATCTATCTATCTATCTATCTATCTATCTATCTATCTATCTATCTATCTATCTATCTATCTATCTATCTATCTATCTATCTATCTATCTATCTATCTATCTATCTATCTATCTATCTATCTATCTATCTATCTATCTATCTATCTATCTATCTATCTATCTATCTATCTATCTATCTATCTATCTATCTATCTATCTATCTATCTATCTATCTATCTTCTATCTATCTATCTATCTATCTATCTATCTATCTATCTATCTATCTATCTATCTATCTATCTATCTATCTATCTATCTATCTATCTATCTATCTATCTATCTATCTATCTATCTATCTATCTATCTATCTATCTATCTATCTATCTATCTATCTATCTATCTATCTATCTATCTATCTATCTATCTATCTATCTATCTATCTATCTATCTATCTATCTATCCTATCTATCTATCTATCTATCTATCTATCTATCTATCTATCTATCTATCTATCTATCTATCTATCTATCTATCTATCTATCTATCTATCTATCTATCTATCTATCTATCTATCTATCTATCCTATCTATCTATCTATCTATCTATCTATCTATCTATCTATCTATCTATCTATCTATCTATCTATCTATCTATCTATCTATCTATCTATCTATCTATCTATCTATCTATCTATCTATCTATCTATCTATCTATCTATCTATCTATCTATCTACTATCTATCTATCTATCTATCTATCTATCTATCTATCTATCTATCTATCTATCTATCTATCTATCTATCTATCTATCTATCTATCTATCTATCTATCTATCTATCTATCTATCTATCTATCTATCTATCTATCCTATCTATCTATCTATCTATCTATCTATCTATCTATCTATCTATCTATCTATCTATCTATCTATCTATCTATCTATCTATCTATCTATCTATCTATCTATCTATCTATCTATCTATCTATCTATCTATCTATCTATCTATCTATCTATCTATCTATCTATCTATCTATCTATCTATCTATCTATCTATCTATCTATCTATCTATCTATCTATCTATCTATCTATCTATCTATCTATCTATCTATCTATCTATCTATCTATCTATCTATCTATCTATCTATCTATCTATCTATCTATCTATCTATCTATCTATCTATCTATCTATCTATCTATCTATCTATCTATCTATCTATCTATCTATCTATCTATCTATCTATCTATCTATCTATCTATCTATCTATCTATCTATCTATCTATCTATCTATCTATCTATCTATCTCTATCTATATCTATCTATCTATCTCTATCTATCTATCTATCTATCTATCTATCTATCTATCTATCTATCTATCTATCTATCTATCTATCTATCTATCTATCTATCTATCTATCTATCTATCTATCTATCTATCTATCTATCTATCTATCTATCTATCTATCTATCTATCTATCTATCTATCTATCTATCCTATCTATCTATCTAATCTATCTATCTATCTATCTATCTATCTATCTATCTATCTATCTATCTATCTATCTATCTATCTATCTATCTATCTATCTATCTATCTATCTATCTATCTATCTATCTATCTATCTATCTTCTATCTATCTATCTATCTATCTATCTATCTACTATCTATCTATCTATCTATCTATCTATCTATCTATCATCTATATCTATCTTATCTATCTATCTATCTATCTATCTATCTATCTATCTATCTATCTATCTATCTTATCGATCCTATCTATCTATCTATCTATCTATCTATCTATCTATCTATCTATCTATCTATCTATCTATCTATCTATCTATCTATCTATCTATCTATCTATCTATCTATCTATCTTATCTATCTATCTATCTATCTATCTATCTATCTATCTTATCTATCTATCTACTATCTATCTATCTATCTATCTATCTATCTATCTATCTATCTATCTATCTATCTATCTATCTATCTATCTATCTATCTATCTATCTATCTATCTACATCTCTATCTATCTATCTATCTATCTATCTATCTATCTACTCTATCTATCTATCTATCTATCTATCTATCTATCTATCTATCTATCTATCTATCTATCTATCTATCTATCTATCTATCTCTATCTATCTATCTATCTATCTCTATCTATCTATCTATCTATCTATCTATCTATCTATCTATCTATCTATCTATCTATCTATCTATCTATCTATCTATCTATCTATCTATCTATCTATCTCTATCTATCTATCTATCTATCATCTATCTATCTATCTATCTATCTATCTATCTATCTATCTATCTATCTATCTATCTATCTATCTATCTATCTATCTATCTATCTATCTATCTATCTATCTATCTATCTATCTATCTATCTATCTATCTATCTATCTATCTATCTATCTATCTATCTATCTATCTACATATCTCTCAAAATAAATTAAGAAATTAAGTGCAACATAATAAATATTTACGCTTTGGGAACTTTCACTAAATTCCAACATAACAAAATTACAGTGTGTAGAAAGGAAATTACATAAAACGACATAAGGTATAAATCCATCAGCCAATTTAAATTAGTTACATTAAACAATAAATAAAAAGGAAAAAATAAAATTAAAGCAGCATTCATTTGCTGACAATAGCAACGTGGTGAGTTTCAACAAATTTGATGTGGCATAAATAAAACTTTGCAATAAACAGCAACAGCAGCACCAACAATAATTCCAATCAATATAAAAAACGATTACGGTAATTTGGTTCGACAAAAACATAATTTGTTCCGCATGCATTAGTAATGGGAAACCAAAGTAATAATAAATTATAGGATGTGCTTGCTCAGCGCAGCACACTACTTTATTGTAGAAACGCACCCTACCACTATGTAGAATTAACATTCAATCGAAAATCCTTACGGCCATGAGGAGATTACTGGGGCAAATGTAAAGTGAAGGAAAAAGAATGAATAAAATAAAAATGTTATTAAAAAGGAACTAATTTACTCGATATAATCCAAAGAAAATAACGCACATGTTACCTATACACACACGAACATGGGCTTATAAATTCCATTAGCAATTCCAAACGTAAGGACATGGTATTGTGTGAGTGTGTTTTGGGTTAAAGCCCCCATATGATAAATTCCCTAACAAATTTTCTACAAATAAATATATATACACACATATAACATTCATACATAAGTAAATACGAAGGCATCGTGAAAGTTCAACATAGGCATCGTCTAGTCATAGTCTAGTCATAGTCTAGTCATAGTCTAGTCATAGTCTAGTCATAGTAGTCATAGTCTAGTCATAGTCTAGTCATAGTCTAGGTCATAGTCTAGTCATAGTCTAGTCATAGTCTAGTCATAGTCTAGTCATAGTCTAGTCATAGTCTAGTCTAGCTAGTCATAGTCTAGTCTAGTCTATAGTCATAGTCTAGTCATAGTCTAGTCATAGTCTAGTCATAGTCTAGTCATAGTCTAGTCATAGTCTAGTATAGTCTAGTCATAGTAGTCATAGTTTAGTCATAGTCTAGTCATAGTCTAGTCATAGTCTAGTCATAGTCTAGTCATAGTCTAGTCATAGTCTAGTCATAGTCTAGTCATAGTCTAGTCATAGTCTAGTCATAGTCTAATACTAGTCTAGTTCATAGTCTAGTCATAGTCATAGTCTAGTCATAGTCTAGTCATAGTCTAGTCATAGTCTAGTCATAGTCTAGTCATAGTCTAGTCATAGTCTAGTCATAGTCTAGTCATAGTCTAGTCATAGTCTAGTCATAGTCTAGTCATAGTCTAGTCAAGTAGTCATAGTCTAGTCATAGTCTAGTCATAGTCTAGTCATAGTCTAGTCATAGTCTAGTCATAGTCTAGTCATAGTCTAGTCATAGTCTAGTCAGAGTCAGTCATAGTCAGTCATAGTCTAGTCATAGTCTAGTCATAGTCTAGTCATAGTCTAGTCATAGTCTAGTCATAGTCTAGTCATAGTCTAGTCATAGTCTAGTCATAGTCCTAGTCATAGTCTAGTCATAGTCCTAGTCATAGTCTAGTCATGCTAGTCATAGTCTAGTCATAGTCTAGTCATAGTCTAGTCAGTAGT